GCGTGTTCGTATCCGTGCTTGACACATCGACGTTCCACCTGATGCCGTTGCGGCACGCCTTGAGAAAGAGCGTCACTCAGTACGCAGCGGCGGGCTGTCCGATCCGAAAAAAGCTGATGCCGCCAGAATCCTTATGTAGAATGCTGTAGTCCAGCCCCGAGTGCAGAATATGAGCCCACGTTTTCTATCGCCGGACACACTCGGAGGTACGCAGACGTCGCGCGGCAAGGCGTGATTCAGCTGCCGACGTCAGCCCCCCTTCAAAGAGCCCCGCGTCTGTGACAAAGCTAGTTCCTGAGGGCCGTGAAAAAGCCGCAGTAGAAGCAACAACTTACAAGGTTGAGGCGCTCGTAGCTGGATTCCCGCACAGCAAGCGGCGGACCTGTTTCCTGATCGTCTGACGTTGTACACAACCTCCGCCAGGGCACTGACTCCTCCCCATATCCCGCCGCTACTGCGTTTCAGGGTCAGAGATTCCTTTTTCTCTCTGCCATGTTGTGAGGCTATAAAAAGCGGTGGAGGCAGAAAGCCGGCAGGGGCTGCTCTTTCGCGTACTTTTCCGCCCTCGAAGTATCCTACCAGGAAGCGTAGTGCCATGTGGGTCCGGCAGGCCCTCTAATCCGTCTGTAGAGACAACATCGTAAGTAAATGGGGTGCTGCACCAGCCACGTGGACAGGAGACGAGTAGACCGTCCTTCTTTTTTTGTTAGCTGAGATATCGTGTTTACCCTCTGTTAGGGCACCAGCCCGAGGAAAGATCGGGAGTGCCGCCATAAACCCCGGCGACGTGCGGCCTCGGCTTCCAGGGTTAGTCCGGGGCTCAGCGCCCATATATATGTGTGTAAAAGCTGTACCCGGAGTTCGTCCGGGGGCACGAAGACCTACATTATACTTCTACATCCGCAGCGTTATGCTTTCCGACATAAAATATGAAGAGAGGCTGCTCTTACCTGCGCACCAGTGGTATGAAAAGTCGTCCGTGTACACTGCGTAATACAATATCGCCGTGGAGCGCACCGTGGGGAGGTTTCCGCGTGCCGCATCCACCTAGCGAAGCGTTTGAAACCCCGGATGATGAAGGGGCTGTAAAGATGGATACAGCAGATCCTTTAGGTCTGTTCCGTGCAGTGGTAGCCTGACTTATTGCCTTGGCGTTGCAGACCAGACCATGTCAGGTCTACGACAACATTATATTAGGAGTCACACCGTCGGACGCACGTCTGTCACGTTGGCATCTGCTCAGAATCACGTCTTCTCTCCGGCAGCATCATACCATGAGGAACTGCGTCATGTACATCTCCCTTCAAGGGCCTCCCTTGCTTAAGGCGTGCGCTGGCAGTACAGGCGATAATTTTCTCCCGATGACTCCATACCCAAGTATAGTCGCTGCCAGGTCCCCGGTGTAGCAGTCGCGGTGTGCACCGGTAAGACAGAACTTGGCGTACAGAGGTTAGCACCTTTCTTTCTCTCGGGACTGCGTGCTAGGTGTCTGATAGGGGAAACAAATAACGCGAACGCTTCAGAGAAGCTGGCGGCGAAAAGCTAGTCTCGCCAGAAGGACGCGCTGGAATGGCTCACACAGCTGCATCCGCGGTACTTTACTGAATGCATTGTAGAGCAAATCCCGGCGTAAAGGGAGGGAGCGAGGCACCATGCCGCACTTTTTTCGCAAACGTCATGTGAGCAGTTTCGTACTGCGGAACGTTTCTGATGCGCAGATATATATATGTACGTACACATACATACGCGCCTGAGCACGTTGACGCGTGTTTGCATGAAACTGTCTGATCCACGTGTACTTGCGAGCAGCGGCTCAGCCTCTCCATTGCTGAGAAGTACCGTTTCTAGCTGGGGCGCGTAGCTTGACGGCCTACGGCACCCGCAGATGCGAGCCGGCGCAACTTCACGCTCTGAAGTAGACTCTCGTCGCGCATCATCTGCGCGCTGGCGAAGCGCCTTCAACTGATAAACACCACCTGCGGGCAGCACGTTCTAGCGTGATAGCTGCAAGGGCTTCCTGACGGGAGCTAAAGGGCATTCATATCTGTGTCGTCGGTGTAGCCTGCGTGCTGGAAGAGGGTCTATACCCATGTGAACGCGTTCACTCACGTGTGATTTCCGGTCCACGTATCACTGCGTACCACTAACAACTACTGGGGATCAAAGCTGGCTAGCGTGTGAGCGCATAAGTGGAAAAGGTCATTCTCAGCCACGTGTCTGCAAAAGATAGGACCGTTGGTAACACGAAATGCGAAATCCTCTCTGTGGTGCCAGCGTGCCTGGAGGTGTCAATTCGAATATTCCGCATACATATGTCTACGTTGCTAAAGTGCTTAAGGACATACGGGTCAAACTGTGAGATACTGCCTGTGGTATGTAACGCGAACATCTCTCAAGTGCCGAGCGTGCCGCAAGGTATTAGTCGAATGGCATGTATATTTACGTATCCGGATCCTCCTGAAGCGTGTCTGTATGCGCACGTGTAATGCTGCATCTCGAAATGGCCGTCTAGATGCATGTTTGAATTTCCGCTTACTTGTGTAGGTACTGAGGTGCATATGCTCACAGCGGATCAGAGTTCCAGTATCCTCAACCCGCGAAGCGGTGAATGGCTGCAGCACCGCACTTCGCTTCCTGTAACATGGTAGAAAGGCTGTTTACACGGGGAAGCGCACGACGCACAAACAGTCTTGATCGAAGACAGCGAGAGGCGTTCACAGGCAGCACTTACATGCCATATGCGTAAGTTCTTTGAGTGCCGGTGCCCTCGTGGCGCATTGTACAGCTGCTCTGCCAGTCTCCAATCGCTCTCGCGTCCACAGGGCGATCGAGGCGCCTGCCAGTGCTGCTACCCCTAGGGCGGGCGGAGGTGGTATATACTAGTGGTTGCCGCTAGTGCTGCAGCGGCTGTTGCCTGCCTGTATGCCTCGGTAGGGTGTTGCTTCTCGCGCGCGATACGCAGCTCCCTGTGCTGCTGCTCCGGCTGCTGCTGCACTGGCTTAGTGCTCCACACGTGGTAGTCCGTTAGTGTGCCGCTGCTATTCAGCAGCTTCAGGATCGCGCGCCTGCTGCTCCAACCGCTGCGGCGCCGCCGATCTGCGGGTTTCGTGCAGTGCTTCGTACCACCCGAGGGGAAATCTGGGGATGCTTTGCCGTTGGGGTCTGCTGTCGTGCGTAATAATCTTTCTTTTCTTTTCCTTCTTTCACGGCGCGACAGGTGATTCCGCTATGCAACTGACGTGGAGACAGCTTCTCCTCATTGCAGGTACGCGACAGCCTTCCCCCGGCCCCCCTCTCTTCGGAAGTTGCTCGTGCTCCCCTCTGCCTTTATGACTGCTCCGGTGTATGTCCAAATGTGCCTTCAAGCAGTTTACCTGTCCAGGCAAAAGGTGGTCTCTTTCCTTTATGCCCCCACGTTGCGTCACACTGGCCGCGTACGTTCTATCTGAGTCCTCCAACCTTCACCGAGGGCATCAACCCCCCACATCCGCGGTTTCCAGGCGCTAGCCCCGAGCGGACCGCCGCACATGACTGGAACTAGTAGACTTTATACCGCGTTTCAGTCTGTCTTCTACACGGTGTGTGAGTGTGGAGACCTGCCTCCTTCATTGGCAGCGGCGTCCCCATCTCCTCTCACGCGGCAAATGGCGCATGCGGGCACGTCCATGCATTTCTGATGCAAGTGCAAAAGCCATTGCGTAACGACCAGATATGTCCTCCTGCACTGTCTACAGTATGCTTCGGAAGCAGAAATCATGCCAGTTCTCTGAATAAGCACGGCTTCAGTTTCCTGCAGGACTCCTGTATAAAGCTGCATCTGTGAATGTACGGCGGCCTATCTTCATTTTCATGAACGGTGTATGAACCTGGCCTACAAGCGCGTATGAGTCCAAGCAAGGCGCAGATGTTACCCGCTCTCGTCACATCTGCGTCCGTAGTATCACGCGTGTGTGAGTTGGCGGTACGTGCGCGCATCACTAAGCGTGACTGATGAACGGGAGAACTGGTCTGCGCCGCGCGCGGGAGGTTCAGATTGTCTCGGCTGGTGCATGCATGAGTGCAGCTTCGCTGAGATTGAGAAGCACAGCACTGGGTGCTCTAGCTTGTAGAGTGCAGTGAAACCGGAAGTGGGTGAAGGACGAGGGAACACTCTGGAGGTGCCACCCGCATGGGATGAGGACAGACGGAGTCTCTCTGAAAGCTAAGGCGCACAGGTGGAGCGCCTTTGGCCTGCACAACTTTAGGCTCCATGTGGAAGTGGGTACTCTTGTGGCTAGTGCAAGGGCTTTCTCCGGAGATTTGTGGGAAAAACCGTGCCTGGCCGTCACCGTGGCCGCGGACGTATGCATATAATATCATCCTGGCAGCACGGTTCTTTCGGTGTAACTCTGTATGTACATAGACCCCCACGTAGACCGAAGCGTGTCAAGCATGTTTCTTCGAAAGCCCCGCGTGCCAGGTCTTGAAATGTGTAAAAGCACCTCCCATCAAAGCATGGCATGCTGTGAGGAGGGTTCCGGGTACCCGCGCCAGAGAGACTGGTTCACAGGAGGTGCCTCCCTTTCGCATCGCAGCATGAGAAAAAGCTGTGTCCCGAGCGACGAACGTGTCGCCATCGACAGCTTTTCCTGACGAAACTACGTAGATGCTGCGCACGAGGCGCCTTGTCCATCTTACTCTTCTGCGTGAGAATCATTATTCGGCTACTGCGACCCATCGTTCGCGTCTAGACCCCTGCAGCGTGCAGTATACAGTCGACCACTAGCTGGAACCGGTGGTTTTAGTGAGTGTCACCTTCTTGCTTTGGCGCGCACGCGGAGCTCCAGCACCAGCGGGGAGGCACTAGGTGACATTACAGCAAGAAAAACAGTCCCGCATGCTCATACGGCAGCAAAAGATCATTCTGTAGATTCATAGTGAAGCGAGGTATGACGTCTTGAGATGCTAAATTCATTAAGCACTGGGCGCTCGCTACGCCCTTCTGCAAGCATCCGTCAAAATATGCCCAAACAGCAACCTTTTCACGTGCGTTCCTTTTCGAAATGCAGCAGAGTATCCGCTCACGCGCACAGTGGACCACATAAGGTGTTCCGGGGCGGCCCACATCTCTTTCGGCCTGCGGTCGTGTGAACAGAGGCTGCGGTCTTTTCCCTTTTCGTTACAGCGCGAGAGGATCGCCTGTATCTCGTGGGGGCCTATCTCAGCATTGCAGCTGGATTGTCTCTACCTGTTGCTGCTACGTGTGTATGCACGGCTCTTTGTATATACATGGATACAGTCCTCGTGCGTAGGGGACACTTTCTACGGACAAACCGACTTTGTATTGCAGCGCTTCTCCAAAGTCTCACAGTGGGAACTTGGTGCTGCGGCGAGCTCTACCTAAGAAGTGCGTAGGAAACTCTGCTAAAGAGTTCTGTGAAAGCGCGTAACGTGGCGCAGACAAGCGCCCTTTACTGTACGCATGTGGGGATCGCCACGCGCACAAGTGGCGCAGTGTCTGGCTGTTGAAACTTACATATAAACGTTGCCTAGGCAGTTCGCCACGAATTCCTGCAGCGCACCGTGAGAGACACAGCCAGACTGCTAAGGAAGCGGCGGATGAACCAGCCTGCAGACTGATTCGTCCTGGGTCTGCTGCCTGCTCTGTATAACGCCGCAGCACATCCGTGTACAAACTATAAAGGGCCGCGTGCGCACAGCCGCACTTTCGCGTGGCGCTTGACGCGTAAGCAATACTTAGACTCGGATGAGAGCTGCATCACAGGCGTTCCTCAGGTAATGCAAGTCTGTGCTGGTTCGGCGTTACGCGGCAGCAGCGGAGGGAAGACTACATGTGTATTGCACCCTCTAGCTATTCGTCGTACCCGACTGTACTCGATCTCCCTTCCGCTACACACATTTCGTGTGATCGCGAGCGCACGCACGCGCGTACTTGGGCTGGCGCACGGTAAATTGTTGCTGTACGCCAGTAGGCATACCTGTAAAGACCTGTCTGATATCTATCCTGCTGCTGTCCTTGGTCTTCTTTGTCAACTTTCTCGTATAGGAGGCACAGCGGCGACTGCGGCGTGTCTTTACTATCTGTTGCGGGAAGATGGGGCGGATTCGAAGGAGGCCGAGGGGGAGACGAAGAAGCTCAACGCTAAGGATGCTTCAAAGGAGCAAGTCGTGACAATCCTGCGTAGTATTTTGAAGACGCAGGAGAAGACCAAGGCCTTGATGAAGGACTTCATTCAGGATATGGTCGAGGAGGACTTGCCGTGAGTCGCCTCTGCAGCGCTTCAACGTGTTCTCGTGTTTGTGAATTTACCATAAAGGAGCCCTATGTGTGCGCGCATTCATGGTTTTTCGTGGAAGCAACATGACAGACGTGCTCGCCAGTGAAAGCCTACCCGCCTTCGCGCCTCTACCTGTCGATCGACTCGGTGCGTAAGTACCGCTGCACATTTGCAGGAAGCTACACGTATAGTACCATGGGCGCTCGGGTTTCGCGTAGAGGCAACCTCCTAATGCCCCCCCTGCGTACATGAAAGCTTGGCCGCATGTTCTCAGGCTGCCGTATCCGTTCACATGCGCCGCTGCTGCTACTGTGTAGAGGCGCGGCTCTTTGTAGCGTCGGTGGACAACTACTGTGCGCACGCGTCTTGGAGTATGCACTTAAACGTGCGACAACATGCGCGAACAGAGCTTTTGAGGGAGGTTGTGGTGGAGTCTGCCCGTTTCCAAAGATCGTCGCCTACAGTACTGCGTGCTACAGTGAGAGCCAGTTAGACGCAGCGTGCAGCAACTCATGGGTGTTTCGTAGTCTTCGGCTTCAGTTGGGGGCGCCTCTCGAGTGATCACATTGCAGACAGACGAACGATGTGCAGCAGCGGTCTGGTTTCATGTGTTGTCGCCCCAGGCGGAACTAAGCGCGTCTGTATGAGTTTTCACAATGCTTCGCAGGTTCGGTCTCGAAGAAGCTGCACCTGTTTTATGCATGCGTACGTGCGTGCGCCGTAAATCGCGCGCGGAGCCTCGTACTAGTAGCGCCGCTAACTGACTGCAATGCACATCACAGTGATTGTGCTTCTCTTATATCGGTTGGTCTTCTTGTGAGTTCACGAGTACCTGTGTGTGTGTCCTTGGAGGGTGTATCTTCCATCGCGAAGTGGCCTACACGCGCGCCTACACGCTTTGTAATCGGGGTAATGCTATAGGCTTTTGTTTGCTCACATAGACGTGGATTGCAGTGCGAGGTTTGGAGACGCGTCAGTTGCTGCTGATGACAGCATTGGGCTCCGAAAGCTGTGACAGCTTCTGCGGACACTTAGAAATACTTCCTTCATCGAAGATGAAGAGGTGCTGACTCGCGTGCTTACCGTCTCTCTTACCTCTTTCCGGCGTACCTTTCTTGTATCCCTCAGCGCACTCCGTTAACGGATGTACACTTCTCCATTTATCTGCACATCTACAGGAAAGTCGTCGGCGTACATTCCTGTATGACGGCACAGCTTCAGGAAAGTGTTTTCATCATGTCAGCTCTGTCGTGGCAGCGTTCCGCGTAAGGCGCAGCCCACATGATGACAATGAGTTAGAAGTCTTAACAAGTGCCTTGAGGTACACTTTTCCGAGGGCACTGGTTTCTGCGCCGTCACTTACTGAGAAAGAAGAGAGTTTTCAACGCAACCATTCGGATGCGGATGATGAGCGCTTGCGGTGGGGAGCAGTTTAGTGTGATTTCCGAGACCTCCTGGGTTTGTCCGCCTCCTGGTGCAGGCATAGCTCTCGCCGCACCACCAACAGTGCGTGCCTGCTGCTGCCAACCTGCTGCAGCCTGACGTAGGAGGCTGCGACTTGCCACAGAAGAGAAACCGTGGGATTTGACCACGGATGCGTGTTTGGGCCTGTGGTGGCTGTGCTCGCGGCCAATACACACATACACATTTTTAACGGGATGGAAGAAGCACCTTTGCTACTAAAGCGGCGTGGCTGCGAGGTTGAATTTCAACAGCAGTGATAGCAGAGGAATAGGCGGGAAGCGCGTCCTGTCCAAAAGACTATTGATCCTTTTGACGAAAGCTCAAAACTAGGCTGCCTGAGGCGTGAAGATCGTCAGTGTGCCTGGTGGGCGCAGGGCTGCTCACAGTGTAACTGCGGCTTCTGAGCCAGTGCAGTGCGCACTACCGACACATGATTGCACTGTGCCGTTAGACTTGCGCACTGCGCGGGGAAGTACTGGGTGCGGTGCTTTCTCATCAAAGCAGTTGGGTGGATACCGCTGTGGTAGCCTGCCTTGCCGGGGTGCTTTTCGAAAAAGGAGTCAGTCGTCTGCGCTGTGTTCATAATGGATCCCCCTGGTCATGACACGCTCCGCACGCAGGGATGGCGCGGAAATAATAGAGTCCGACGCTGAGGGCGATGATGTGCGTACGCTCAGATTCGAGGAGGCGTACGAGCGGGTTGCGGCGAAGAATTTGGAAGACCCACTGGAGCAATACGGCCTGACAATGCCAGATTTTGATGGCTTGTTGGACAAGTATCAGCATGACCCACAGATAAAGGATTTGATCATGCGCATCATGAGCTCATCAGCTTCTCTCGAGTAAGGGCTTCACGCGAAAACGAACACTGAGATTTCGTTCACTCTCCCACCACTCTTTCGTTGCTGATGTCTCGTGGAGGTACAGAAAGTTCACATGAAAATGCTGGTGTCCGTCTAGGCGCGAGCATCGCGGTATTCTCAGGGCAAACACCGCCCACAGATACTGTGGAGGATTCTTCGCTACCTAGGTTACACCTGTACGTAGCTGCCTACCGGCGGCGTGGCGGATCATTTTCTTTCTCTGGGCTGATATGCACGTGAGACCCCGCCCCTGTGTACAGTAGCGTTCCTGCGTTACTGTGATGAGCCCTTCACGCGTTCGCGGCTCCTGCCTGTTAGGAGGGACTGCGCGATATACGGCGCAATCGCATGTGCCTTCGTGCTAATGCGCGTGAATAAGCATGAAGTGTTTTGCTTTTCGCTCCTTCATATTACCTGCCACTTGAGCGGGCAAGCACCCAGGTGAACATGGTGTTTTTTGTCATTTGATTTGCGCTGCCGCAGGCCGAGTGTGCAGGCGCAGCATTTAAGTAAGGCGAAGATAATTGAGGTACACGAGTTCATGCGGCAGGAACTTCAGAAACTTGTCGAGCACGTGCAGAGAAGCTCAAACCGTGCTAAGTTCGATGTGAAAAACGTTACGCTGACGGCACAGGCGTACGTTGGAGCGCGTGTCCAGAAAAGGTTCGGGTTGACCTCAGAGGAGGTGGAATCCGCTGTCTTTTTCAATCACAAAGAACTTGCTGTAGACGCCGACTTCGTCAGGATTAATATGGGCATTCAAGCCATAATGAATCAGCTCATAGTTCCACACTGCGTCATGTGATAGACGGCTTTCTTCAGTAAACGTCTATATCTATCGTTATCCCGTATGCTTGCGGCTCTGTCCGCTCGGTCACCAAATTCTCCCTCTAAAGTATCTGCTTTACCTGACCACTGCATCTCCTTTATTCTCGATAACTCCCCTGTTTCCGAGCCCTAAAAGTAAATTACTGTTTCTTCTGATATGGCGTCGTCTTTCACCGAGTTCGCCTGCTCCTCCTAGAGATAACTCTGTAGACTGAGGCTGCCTCACAACCGCCCGAGCATACGTGCGGTTACGTGAGCGAGCCCACAGCGAGCTGCGCCGTGTGTATGTCGTGGATATGCTCCCTTGGTGAGTTGTAGCTCGTTTTGCTACCCAGGGCTTTAATCATCTGCTCATTTCAGTGATGTTAGAGCTCGCATCATGCGTGCGAGGAAGTCTTGTTGGCGGTCAGAGTGTAACATCAGCCGGTTATCCGTGTACGAGTGTCACCGATCCGGCGCCGACTTTTAGTCAGCGAACGTTTGCCACGCACAGCCTCCCTTCGTACCGCGGCTATTAGTTCCTTAATTGCACTGACCGGCGAACGGTCACGCTGCCGTGTAGATCAGCAGGTTCAGCTCTAATCGGCTGCGTCACCGTATTTTTGGTCGCCGCGATGACGGCACCGTGTACCCATGCGGAACATGCTGAAACTATCGCCTTCTTGGGCGGACCGCTGCACAGTCCGTGTTATGCAGTTCTGTTGTGACGCCGGGGTGACAAAGAACCGGTTAAGGTTCCAGTTAATCGTTCGGTTGACATACTGCGTAGAGGAGGGACAGATGACACACCATTTCAGTGCTCTCACCCTCTGCTTCCGCGTTTGTTCTGAACACCAAAACGGCTCGTCTGTACACACTTCGCACGTTGTTTCCCGACTGCACCAGACGGGACGTGGCGACAGGCTAAGCTGCGTCATTCGTAATGCAGCATTCTGCACACATACGGTATACAGGGGGCACAGAGATGGCACGCCATTCCATTGCGCTAACCGTCTCCTTCAGCGCCTGCTCTGAACACCAGAACGGCTCGCCTGTAGACACTAAAGCGATTTGCACGGCAGAGGGAGTACCATGCGAAGCTTTCAGCCAAACCCTGACAAGTATTAGGGTAGGCCCTTCTTCAGAACGTAGTAGGCGGCCTTCCGTCGAAGCATATGTGGATGCGGGTCTGGTCGCAGGCATCGCACAGATGACTTGACGTGGCTTACAAGGGCAAACGTGTGTGCGAACGAGGATCTGTAGAGGGGCTGGCCGAAAGCCGGCATCCCGTCTACTGGTGTACGAGCTCTCAGTACCCGGTCGCGTAACGGCTCCCAGCTAGACGTTTGCACAGAAGCACGTCAGCAACCCCTTTGCCGCTCGAGAATCAACTATCAGCCCTCGCGCGGGGGAAGATTCATTTGTGGTTGACGGTCACCGTTAAGTGCCCTGCGCACCGAACTATTTGAATGCGCGAAGCTACACGGCAGAATCACGGTGGTGGTGTGGCTGCGGAAACCGCGCCGTTACCCTTCGCTTACACTTCTCCGGCGAAGGACGACGGCGGGCTGTTGGTAGCTAACATATACGCGGACCCGCTCACGTGCTCGTACAAATATACGTGCGTACAAACATAGCACGAAGGCTCTCTGGCATGGGCAGAATTCCGCCCTGTCGTTCGCGCATGTCCTGGTTTGCATGCGCCGTCCGCGTAAAGGGGCCACAGTGTACGGCGTTGCGTTGCGCGCACCCTGGACGTGCTGACAAAGGATGACGAATGTATCACGAGCGGTGAGGAGGGAACGCTACAGCTCGCGGCACCAAACAAAAGTAGCGAAGTCAACAGTGCTTAGTACGGACGTCACACGTGCGGATGCTGCGCTGTTGGGCAAGTTCATAGTGTCCCGACCTTCGCACCGCATTGCAGGGAGCTCACAACCGCCACATTCGCTACGTTCTCCACGATGGTGAAGGCGGGAAAGGAATGCAAGGGATTTACTCCTGATGATGAAGCGAAATTCTCTACCCATCCCCAGCCGGACCAGCAGGAGGAACTGCACAGACGCGCAGTTCTCATCCAGGCCGCGTACAGGGGGTGGAAAGCTCGTAAAGCATGGCGAGAGCAAAAACTAGCAGGTAAAGTCAAATCCTGGCGGCCCTGCAGCCGGGGGCACAAGGCAGCACCGCACCCCACGACTTGGTTTCGCAAACAGGTATGGCGTGCCAGGTGTCAGCCGGAAGTCATTAGAACTGCACGCCCCATGCACAGATGACGTTGGCGGCGCCCTCCGCAGTACCTGCCTGAGAGCGGTTCTCCGTCCCTCCTCCGTTGGTGAACCGCGGGTAGCTCACACGCTGCCGGTCGTGCACCCTTCTAGAAGACCGGGTCATAGACAGAACGTCGTACGCAGTGGGTAGAGAGGATAGGAAAAGTCAGCAGGATAATACAGCCGGTCTGCTTGACTGATATCCGCCTAGAATCCAGTTATCAAATGGCACCTAGCTGCGCCATATTGCCCCACAGACCTTTCTAAATAGCAGGAGTGAAACTGCAGGAAGGGCCACTAGATGACGTGTGTGTTGAGCACGTGCAGTGTCAACTTCACGTCCCCTGTATGAATCACTCGCTCTCTAGTACTGACTTTATGCGATTGATATGCTGCATTCATTGCCCGCTGCGCAACCAGCCGCAGCGGCCAAGACAGCGCGAGAGCCTGAGGACCCCGAGAGCTGCGCATTGCCTGCCGCGGAGATCACGCGGAGCGCAGCCGTGCAATATGTCTTCGACCACAGAATTCTCGATCTGTTCAAGGTAGGAAGGCGAACCGTCCCAACAACCCTTTATTCACACGAGCGCCAACAAGGAGGCGGTGGTACATCTGTAGTGGCGTGCGGCAGTGTCTGCGGCGGATAAGCTTCGCCCGCTCGCTGTGCTTTACGCCTCTGGGTAGCAGGTGGCTCCCAGTAGACGCGGGGGGGGAACGACGCGTATCACTCCAGGAAGGAGATAAGATCCACTGTAGTAGCTTTATACTATTGCGCACCCCTTCCCGTGTAACAGTTAGGGGCGCTGTTGGTAGGGGCTGGAGGGGGTCAACCCCGTGCAACAAGGGCGTGCCTGGTGACGCTGATATCACTAAAATCTTTTACGCCGTCGAGGCCAGTTTCCCCACTACGGCACAGCATCAACAACACACTCCGCAACGTAACTAAAGCAGAGCTTCATGAACTACCGTGAGCAGGTGTCTTGTGCTCACGCGAAAGGTGCTGGAGGGGCGCAACCGTTTCAGGATCCGCAGATTTCACTGCTAGGTCCGCAGAGACCGCTGAACTGCCTCATTTCTATTCGACGAGATTGCATTCTGTGTCCCGCCGTTGTCCTCCGTACCCGCAGAACCTGCTGTCACGGCTTTTCTACAGCAAGCCTGAAAACGTCAGGGGATTCCTGATTAGTGAACTTTCCAAGATAGACGAAGCACGACACTTGTCTGCCACACAGGCGGCAGAAGGGGCAGCAGCAGCAAATAATGGTACTCCGCCTTCCGAGAATCTGCAGAGTCTTGAGTCGCCTGCAGCAGACAAGGAACTTGGAATCTTCAATGTGAACGATTTTCCGGTGTATTTCAACCTGCTCTCTGGCGATGAGAAAGACAATATTCCAGGCGCACAACTACTGCACTGTAAGAGCATAAAACCCTAGTAAACGCAGGCCTACGACACCGTACGGGGTCGAGGTACAATGTCTCCCCTCACAGATTTATGTCGTCCGCGGAGATATTTGTCCTGGATTGCTCGGCGAACCTTTGTCAGTTGTGCAACCTCGTGGCGTGAACCTCACTCCTGCAAGCGACCCCTTAGCACGGGTTAGCATCAACTTCGTCTCCCGAACAGTGCTATAGAATCAGCGTAGGACACACACCGGCAATGAGTACTAACGCAAACATCGGTAAAAGTTGAGCACCGGCTGAGTGAGAGGTGTGGCCGTCGTTGCACGAAGGGCTTGCCTAGGCGGGAGAGGCATTAGAGCACAGGCCTTCGACAGCGTAACCAAATCAGACAACTCCCGTCATTATCGCTGCGCGCTTCTTTTCTGGAAGCTTCTACGCGACGGGATGGCAGTACGCTTTCCATTGTTCTTGTCCGCTACTGTGCTCCACCTTTCTCGATTCACAGCAATGGGAAGATTTTCTTGCAATGCCGACGCCGAGAGGGTGAGCCGCACTTAACGGTAACGGACGCGGTACAAGCGAAAGGGTGACGGCTGTATTGCATCTCATTGAACGTGTACCGTAGAGGGGGCCACTGAAGCCGGATAAGCGGCTTCCAAACTTGTCACGTATTGTGCCACGGGTACACGGTCACACATATATACCGTTCTACTTGTGGCTGCCAGTGCTAAGTACGAAGGTAATTCTCAGGCCCGGCCCCGTCGGCACCTGAGAGCCGGCTCAGCGGACAGTCAGTTCTCCCCCGCTAACGTCGGCGCCCAGGCACTGTATCCCCTGTTCCGAGTCGCAGGTGCTGGCAAATCATAAGGTGGAGTTACAAGGCGTGGTCGGCGAAACTACCTTCTGCCGAGTAATGGAGGAATCCGTGTGCAGTTTCTACGATGTATCTCGCTGGACACAGGCACGCGAGCCTTGACCATGCTTGACTCACTCTCGGATGAGTGAGTCGAAGGGCAAGGTGAGTAGCACGTCTCCTGTGGGTCTAGCGTATTACTATTCTCATAACGTATTGTGTCCTGGACGGGAAAGGCGGCCTCACAGCAGATACGGGATACTAACGCCTTGTAAAGCCGGTAGGCACCGCTCTGCAGATGGCGGCAAGACCCGTTTTCCAAGACTAACGGTTGCCGTGAGTCTCTGTCTTGCGCTCTAATTCGTCCAGTGGGCTTCCTTTTGCGAGGGCACTTTCTAGAAGAGGACTGGACGTTCCCCGATGTACCTGACGTCTCCCGTGCTGGAGTCAGTCTGGCGTCCACGCGCTCAAGGGAGGGCTCTCGCGACACCAACCAAATTGATGCGGCCGCACGGCCTGCCACGACAGCGAAAACGCACGCCACCCTGTTCCGTATCGCGAGAAGATGAAGCTGCATCAGGGATCCAGAGGGAGTCCGAGTCATCTGCTGTATCGTCCGCTTACTTTCTCATAGAGACAGATAGAAGGATCAGGCATGCGTGTTCGTGGCGTGCCGTCCTGCGTCCTTTTACTATCTGACAGAAACGGGGGCCCTCGCCGCAAGCGGAGAACGGGCCTCGTGGGGCTCGCGTGGGTTTGTAAAGCACCGCCGTTGGAAATAGGGGGGAGAGATGGGCGGAAGTCTAAGGTGTCAAGTACGCTAGGGAGACCGGTTCTGAACGGGGAGGCACCATGCAGGGTGAGAGAGCTATAGCGGAGTTTTCTTGAAGTAGCTTGCACGGTGGGGGACTTGAAATGATACTGCGTTCTGCTCGTGCATTTCAGCTCATTCTGCGCCGTAAACTGGTATACACTGGTCTTGCTGGGGACCTAAGGCGCGTCCCCTCTCTTCCACATGGGCGTGGCTCTGTGCAGAACAGGCGCAGATCAGGGATGTCCCAGATGTTTGGTAGAGTACACCCGAACGTGCTGGGGACGTGCTCCCTTGTGATATCTACCGGCAGACTGACTTACGGCATCGCGGCTACGAAGCCGGAGCATACGGCGAGGGAGCAACGTGCCGGCAAGAGAGTTGTGCCGGCTTCTCCTGGGGCTGGTGCGACGGCAGAGTCACACAGGTTCAGAATACAACCATTTGAGAAGAGCCACGGGCGAGCGCCCCTCGGGATGTTTACTGGCGTATGCGCTTGAACTGTTTGCACATTATTTTCTCCCCCAGCACCTTCAGGGCCTGTAAGAACTACCACGTTGCCATGCGCACACTCGCACTGTCTTCTTACGTGCTAGAAGTCTTCTCGCGCGGTACTCGTTTGCCTTGTGCTAGCATCGTATACAGGGCTTTCTGACTCCGGCTGCGCCAGGTTCTGTTGGGCCCTCCACTAAGGTGCACCGAGGTGCAGTTTACGTGGTGGGTATTGTACCTGTGAACGCTCCATGCATGCTGAGAAGCTGCGAGTTGTGCAGCCCTCGTTGCGTCGGTCAACCGCACCGCGTCAACCTCTAGTCCACTTCTAGTTCTACCCGGCGTCTATCTACCCCGACGCACTGGAGTCGTCCGCGTCTGTAGACTTCGGCGAATCTATTTTCTCCTAGTGTAGCGCTGAGTTTTATTTGTTGAATTCACCGGCAGCTGGTGGTGCCTGCGGTGGTACGCGTACGCCGTTTTACTACAACGAGACTCACTCAAAGTGAGTGTCATACAGAATATCCCGCGCGTGCTTGAGGTAATACAGCACCCGATTGTTGCCCATTAGCATGCAGCAGACGCTTGTACATGATCGTAATGCTGCATCTGGCTTCCACCGGGAAGTGAAAAGCTCTCGCAGACCGCCTGCACAGATCGTCCCCTTCCCTCTGAGATCACGCTCATAAAGAAGAAGCCTCCTGATCAGATAGACTGGCTCACTGTACTACCCACTGGATACTCTGCGAAGGCTTGTGGAAAAGTATATTTCTAAGAAAGCGAACGAACGCGCACCCGGCAGTAGGTGCGGCACCTCCGGGTTGGGTGCGTAGACAGTTGTACTGCCCGATAGCTGCAAACTCTGCGGGGCACCCTTGGCGCTTCGCCGCCTCCTTCCGACAACCTGGAATGTGTTGCATCTTTCCTCCTGGTGCGAATGCTGTGACGTCTCCTTTCCCGCACTTCCAACGACCGAGAATGATCACTCGTCCCTTCCTTCTTGGTTTTGCGCCGACATGAGCTCAACGGGCACAAGACAGTTCGAAGAGGCACGCGCGTGGTAGCTAGTGCAGCCACGCTTCCGAAAGCACCCTTGACAAGTGGACGTTGCGGAGAACACTTCAGCACCAATATAACTGGTACAGAAGCACGCACCCCTCGGCTTCACCGACCAGGTCATGCATTACGGTCTTCTTTTGGCACGACTGCCTTCACCTAACTGGGCACATCGAGGAGTGGTCCCTACTAGCCTTATCGAGGGTCAATTAGGCGTTACGAATACTCCCAGTCGCCAAAACCACGCATAATACGGAGCAGTACGTGGTGGCCGCGGCCCAGGGTGCTAAGGACTCTCCTTTGCTTCATTTGACTGTCTATGGCCGTGCAGGAGACAGAGAGCTAAGTCCTCGCAGGCGAGATCAGACTCGCCTTCCGACACACCTTCCTATACAATCTGCTGCCGCAGTCCGGGACGTCGAGCAGATGCCAGCGCTGTAACCCACAGCCGCGCACCGATGTGTTGGGTCTCGTACTATCTTCTAGGATTCTCGCCATCTACACAAGTGTCCTATACTCGCCTGCGGCACCCCGGCCAGCTTCATGTCTCGGGTACCGCTCTGGATTCATCTTGGTATATAATGTAGTATGCTCTACTTCCCCTCCTCTCATCCTGACCCTCTCTCTCCCCCCCCCATACTTTATACACTTTTATACATAATATATGTACATATATGTCTATATTCGTATGTATACATCTAGCATCGCGTATGTGTGCTGATGTGTGCGTGCGTCATCCAAATGGAGCAATGGAATTCTGAACTTGAGTAGGTGGACGCCCGAATAGTGGGGGACGCCGCAGACAAGCCCATTACGCCATCATTCGCCTTGAGTGGTGCCCACCACGTCAGTCGCTGCCTTCACTCCGACTCCTGCTGATGCCGCCGGGACAATCCGGCGGGAAATTATCGTACTGACGCCAGCTGCAAGCGCCGCCCTGCTGACGTTGCAGCCGACGCTCTAACATTCAGTGCGGAAGGTGACGTCACAGTCATTGTCTGCTGCCGAAAACGCCGCAAGGCTGACGCTGCAGCCACAGCTTCTAATGTGGCAGGTGCTCCCCAGTCAGTGTCTTATACCTCGGTCCGAGTTACCAGAAGTAAGCGCCTTCCGTCAATCCACACTGCGGTGGTCCGGACGATGATGTCCCCCTCCAGGTCGTGTCGAAGACAATGTGGCTGTTACCTCGCTCGGAGGCTGCCCGTCCTGAAATAAAGTTTCCGGCTTCCCTCTATTTCTGCGTGGGTTTCTCTTATCTGTCGCACGGGCTGGAAGCTGTGGTCCGGGGTAGGTGCCTTATGTTTTGATAGTCATGGTCCGCCCGCTGATGTCTGTGTGGCTTGAGTTACGTGCTGTAGTGAAGTAAAACTGCAAGCCTCCGCTGGCGGAGAGGCTCAGGTGCGCATGGCGCCACGTATTTAGTATCGTTGCTAATTTCGACGCTGGCGGGTGATGTCGTCCGGACCAGGGTATATTACGGCCAGTGCTCCGGCGCAGCAGCAAGTTCTGGGGGAACGGACAGCGTCTGCTGCTGTGACAGTCTGTGTCCGCCGGTCAGTGCTGGTTGGAGCTCTTGATGGCTGCGTTTTTCCCTGCCGCCGCTGTGCATTCTGTTCTCACACAACCGCCGGAACAGCTTGCAGCTACGAGGCGGACGTCGTAGCTTTGTAAGGCTAGCTTGCTTACACGGAGGTCAGCTGCTGCATGCAAAGCCGGAGCGATTGCGGCATTGACGTTTTCTCCATCGGAGGAATCCTTCAAGGAATGAGTTGCATCTATTCGTTGAAGAAAAAACAGAGCACCCGTATGCAGCGTATGGGCTGCAGTCTCGAAGCAGAAGAGTCACCGTCAGGTGCTCTGCACATGCAAGCACACAGTGAGCTTCCATACCGTCGCAAGGGAGGTGCACGGTGGAGGGTCATCTCCGCTTCCCAGTTTCCCGACTTTTGTGCATGTTCGAAGTTATGCTGCTCTGTCGGCTGTCTTCGTCAGCCGAGACTTCCGTACAGCGGCAGTCTTCTTTTGTAACGTGTTTGTCCGTTGCCAGCAACTGCGTACGTTCGTTGAGGGGTCCCCGTATCTGCACTTTGGCACGGAGACAGAGTACAGTTGCTCCTTGGGGCGTCGAGGCTGGGCTTTCCTACACGCTCTCTTCTTTTTCGTACGTACTGCTCGGTGCGTTAATAAGTAACTAACGTTTGGCAACCGGGTCCCGACTGTCTTTGCAAGACTACCGCTCACTGACTGGCCAGCCCCTGGAACGCGAAGCGTGGAACGCAGCTGTACTGCACTGTCCGCACGACCCGTACGCTAGAGTGCGAGGGGACAACGCGATGAGGGTAGTAATGCGGGAGCTTTACGAACTGAGGAAGTTGTGACCCACTCGAGTGCTGCTGCAGGCAGTACGGAAGAGTCGCGGCCTACTATACGTCCCCTATTTCCGCTTCTGGCATTACACCGTCTGTGTGTCTGTACGCATGAAGTCACTGTACGCATTCTCATGTAATTCAAGATGCAAGGCATGGTTGTTGCTGTTCAGCTGCTGTCTGCGTAAATAGCTTAGACAGCGCGCCTGTTATCCTCGTTGTCAACTCAGGCTTCCCCCGGTAACGATAGGCAGTTTATGCAGAGCCGGTGGCTGAATATTTCAACGCGGTACGAAGTCTTTCTGAGTAGAAGAGCGTTCATGCCGAACCGGTGCCGCTGCCGTACCTGGTGAAAATAATTCGAGCATACATTTCTGCGTGTACGAGGGACTCCGGAAGCCGGACTGGCATTCCATCACATGGCTGCATGAAGCGTTTGCATTCTAATGTAATTCGTATAATATCTCTCACAATCTCCACTTCATTTCTGTCTCTCAGCAGCGGGGACGTCGTTTGTTTTGCGCGCGACTTTCCAGCGCTCCTGAGGAAAGGGAGCCATTTCTTTATATCACCTGCGGTGCATTGGCTCCTGCTACTCTGTTTTAGTGGTTAAGTCCATGCATAGGTCGGAAATTACGTGCGCACACGTCTTCCCCGGTTCTGTGTGGCATGTTGTAAGCATAAACCAAAACCCGAGCGAAAGCATACCACGGGCCATTTCTTCATATTACCGCCGGCGAAGTGGCCCGTGCTACTCCGATTTAGTGGTTAAGCCCATGCGTAGGTCGGAAACTACGAGCGCACACGTCTTTCCCGGTTCTGTGTGGCATGTTGTAAGAAAAAACCAAAACCCGAGCGGAAGCATACCACGGGCCTCCTTACTGTCATCCTCTTGTCCCACTTTCGCAGAGGTTTGTCTCTGGTACGACCCCTTTTCACCTGATGCAATTTTGATGAGCTGCTGCATCTCTCACGGGGTCTATGCCAGACAGAGATTCTGAAGAGGAGGCAGAAGTTGTGGGCGAAGCTAACCGGGGTACTAGCTTCTCGATCACGCTGCTCTGTACTCCATGCAAGCGAGACCGGGTCCTCATGCGTAAACATGAACTATGCAGGGCCGTGCCTGCACGTGACGGAAATCTGGTGGATCTAACAGCTGTGTAACAGGCTGTTTATATGTTTGTGCACGTCGTGCTTGCATGACCCATTTCCATCTTCGCGTCACTGTACAGTACTCACAGATGTACATATATGCAGATACAGAGCAGGTAGACATTCACACATAGTTAGCACATGGTATAATATTCTACGTCCGAACTGTAACCCGAAAATTTGCCTCTTTTTCCCGTGTTGCCATCTTTCCAAAGAGGGGGAGTCCCTGTGGCTCTTGAGCGAGTCCTCAAGTGATGCCCCGAATTACGAGTTGATGGGCGTATCTTGTACCCCCATGTAGGTCCAGCAACGCTGGCGCCGCGCGGGTACGGCGTACCACCCGACCGACCTTCGCAAGTCGTTTTAGTGTGGTTGCATGTCTTGTGGGCGGCTACTACCGGGCGAGCTGCCCCGTTGGACTCTTTTTCAAAAGTTTGTTATCGCTACGACTATCTGAGTATACTTGAGCACCGGCGTAGAGCACTATATTGGCGTACAGACAGCTGTTGAGCGTATATGTCTGATGCAGTGCTGAGTTTCACCTAGAATGCCAAAACGGACCCCGTGGAGCGGTGAGGGAACATCGCCATTCTGTATGTCTCCTCCCTTAGCGGGCCCCCCCCTCGGTGGACTGTGGGTCTGCTTGCTTTGTCTGTTTTTCTGGAAGAAAGTGGTAGTTCTGCTCTCACCTCTTACTCTAGCCTTGAACGTGTATGTTGTGTGTGCTCAGCCGCTGCTGCGCTGACTTCTTCCGATGCTCCGTGGCTGCGGTGGGGGCTCCTGTCATACGTGCTGCATTCCCCCGCCTCAGGTGCAGCAATATGCTGCTGCTGATGCGACTCTGACTCGTACCGTTCGAGTTGCCCGCGGGGGCGGTTTTTTGTCGTAAGGGCTGCAGACGTCCCTGGCCTCACTGAGAAACCTGCTCCTGCGGCTGAATCACTGGGTGGCGCATAGACACGGTCCTCTAAAACATCTGTTTTCAGCCGAAAAGGCGAAATATTATTCGAAATCAGAAGCAGAGCACCCCGGCTGTGTTTCCTGCGGATCCGGTTGAAATGGTGCGTCAGCTTCGTTTCCGGGCGGTTGATGTTACAAGAATACTTTATGCATCTTTTCATCTTGGTGGCTGTCTGCTGCGTCCCCTGATGTCGACAGTCCGTCAGACTGCCCACCTCGGCCCTCCGGCACTCTTTTATATGCCTCTCGTGCTACTGCGGGGATGAGATGTGGATGAAGTTTGCGTAATCCTAACAAACTCTCTTCGCTACAGTTGCATCGTCTCGTGGTATCTTCGCCGGAAAGTATCTCACTTTCTCGCGGCATGGTATGCCGTCGCCGGTATGTCTGCTGTGGGTATCTTTTCCTGGTAGGCTTTATTTAGCTCTCTCTCGTGCTTCTTGTATCTCGTCTTTGCCTGCTGACGCCGCAGCCGCTGCGGCTCTGATAGCTGATGCACTGGGTGATATATCTTGCTGTCTTACTCTACCCGCGCTGCGACCTCTTTGAGGCGGTCTCTGCTCGTTGCTCCTCTCACCATCAAGCCCGGCATCCTGCTGCCAGTTTCTTCCGCAGCTGTGTGCTTGTGTCATCTCATCTGCGGCCCTGTCCTCTTGCTGCCGCTTTCGCGCGCACACGTTTGCTTGTTGCGTAGCCTACAGTGACTGTGCTGGGGGGGGATTTGCGCTGTCGTGAGCTGTATCTGGCTATCCGCCCACTCTCAATCGTCTGTCCTCCTGGATATGCCAGTATTTCCACTAGAAGTTTCCATTATCCACCACCCGGTCCCGCCGCCCACGTCTGTATGGCTCCCTGGATAGGTTGATGGCTCTACGATGTATTTGTACTGAGTTGCCAGCGTTGTCCCCACAAAATGAGCAGCAGTAGCGCTGGCATGCAGCGTGCCCCGTCTACGGGGGGTGGCGGTGCTGCTGTGGGGACGGGGGCGCCCAGTGAGAAAGTCGCATTATACTCTTTGATCCTTTTTAAATGGAACCCGGAGAGACCTATACTGCTGTCGTGCTCTTTCGACTTGTCAAGCTTCCCCTTCTTCCACCGGCACACCGTCAAGGAACACATTCTCTTTCATTCGAGGTAAGGGCGGCTGCTGCAGCCCAAGCACCTCAGGGCACCACCCGCAGGAGCACCACACAAGCAGAATGCGAATAGCGGCGACTCAAGTGCGTCGGACCCGAAGAGTCCGGCACGCGGGGGCCCGCCTGCGACCACCTGTAGCGGTCGACAGCAGAAAGGAGGAGCTTCAGTTTTCGGCGGACATTTCTGTATAGCTCGACGGGGAGACGCAGCCAGGAGGTGGCGGAACTGTGTGGCGACGTGGTAGAAGTTTCCACGACCCCGGGGGCGTCTCCAGAATTCAGGACAACACGTCTCTGCACAACATTGTTGGTTACGCGTACGCGCCGCTGGTTACGTCTCATGACTACGATTAACATTTACGCGGTGCCTGATGTTAACTACCCGCCGGACCGACAGCGGTGACCTCCTAAGCACTGTGCAGCCCTCCTGGTTAGCGGCCTACAGATGCCCTTGTGTGCGTCTCGTGCTAACACAGTGTTCCCGGCGGTTCACGAACGTAGTCTTTCAAGCGGCTCACGCGGCGACGAAACGTTTTGCTTGGCTTGGGGATCAAAGGTAGACTGGAAAGAAGACGCCTGCAGAGCATGGTATATGGGCACACGGTTTAGGAGGGACAAAGCAGATCATGCGCTATGGCGTCCGCGTATTGCGTGCGTGTATCTGCGTGATAACAGACGTTTGGTCGTCATACCGTACGGGGGGAAGCGTTTGCGAGGAAGGTGACGAGCAGCTTCAGTTATCTGCAGAGTGCGAGGGATATACTTACGTACGCCCGTGTACATCATTTCAGTTGTCTCTTTATCTGCCTACTAATATGTATGCCATGGGCGCAGACATGTATAGATGTCGCTCGCTGAAGGAGAGATCCGGTGGTGTCAGGCCACGATCAGCCGTCGTGCGTCCGAAGAGACTAAAACCGCAGAGAGACGTCATCAGCACCCGGCTTTTTGAAGCCAACTTCCTCACCGAAGTACCTTACTGTTTTTTTCCACGAATTGTTTGCTAGGATGAGACACTACCCAGAAGGTTGCGGGTCAAATTTGCAGAGCTGGGCCACTGCTGCGGCGCCGCTGTAGCTCCGTCAAGCTCAGTGTAGTGTCCTTGATTTGGTGAGATGGTCGTCTATTCTTTTGAGTGTGTGTCTTTTCGGGACAATCCTTCAAAGCCTAAAGTGCTATACCAAAATCTTCGGTTTGGATGGTCCCGCAGGCGCCTCTAATATATGACGGTTTGTGCGGGCAGACACACAAGCACGTGCAGGTTTTCTAGGTGATTTATTTTTGTGAGCATCTTTACGTATTCGAACTAATCGTTCATGTATTTTCACCTGCACGTATGTGCATCCTGCGGCTGTGGATAATGAAGCGCTTGCCGCTTCGCTGCTCCCTGTAGGGCTGCTGGGGACGGAAGACTTTGGGTGTGTGCGTGCTTCCTCCTACGCGTGTTATATGTATGTATCCGTATCTACATATATCATGTATATATGCACACATGCATGTGTACACACGCGCACGCACAGACAGACACGCAGCGGGCACGAATGCGGTCGCTTTGTTAGGGATGCCCACACAAATGTGGCTCTGTGTTCTCTAGCTGTACTGTAGTGTAAGTGTGTGTCTCCATTTCGACTTCCCGCAGGTTGATATGCGCTCGAACACCTTTGGGGAGGAGGCAGGTCGTCGAATTTCAGGAGAGGATTGGCCATTGTCATGTGTATGTACATCCTTCCGGCCTCGCTTGTACAGTTCTATCGTCTGCTGCCTACCCCATGCGGGTTGCTTTCGGACTGATAGCCGAAGCTGTCAGGCGCTTTCAAGAGGTAAGAGCCAGTTGTAGGATGTCCAAATATAATGTACCAGCTGTATACTGGTGGAGTGAAGGATCAGCAGAAGAAGCAACAGCAGACCTGGATGTCGGCTGTTGCTAGCGTGCTTTGTATGGATGCCTAGTTCTCCGAGAGCCCGCTCAGCAGAGAGGTGCTAATGCGCGCAATCAAAAGTAGTCAGTGCGATTTTCGCAGGGCTCATGCTCTTTCTGACGCTTCCGCGCACGTTACTTTAACGAGGAAAGCATCGCTGAGCTGCAATGCAGCGTAGGCTCACATGCAGCGTACCACAGGCAGTGGCGCTGTGTGGCAGAGATTGTTGCAAACCTCCGAGCTCCGCGGAATAGGTATCGGCGGCAGCAGTGCAATTACACTTATTTACGTTTTCGCTTTATTGTGCGGGGGACGCGGTCCGGCCCAGCGCTGCAGGCGCTGTCCATGTTGTGTACATTACGCAAACTCTACTCACGTGCGTCCACCAGGAGTAGGTGTGACCAGCGCGCAGCAGGAAGGCACTGCAGTCTGCTTCTTTCAGTGGAGAAATCACCTGTACACGTGCGCGTACGAGAGGTGGATGCGCGTTCATAGGATAGTGTGCCTCCCTGCCCACCAGGGTCACGAAGGAAAAGTCAGTGTCGCGTCTAGCAGGGTATTCGGACACAGGATTCTGCACTGCAGAAGCACAGGAGTGTCAATTCGCACCTTCTAGAGAAGGTGTGAATTCAGGTAAGGGTAGGGCTCCCCGTCAGTGAAGGGCCTACGTGTGATGTGTTCGTGTTTTCGGCGCTCATCCTTTTGCATCTGGTCCTCTTGCGTACACTCGCGTCCCTTGTGAGAGTCCGTGCTAGGTCTACACGGGCTGGCCGCAGATGTTGGCGCTCAACAGTCACAGCATCCTCGCCTGGGCAGACGCGCACTCTTAGTTTCTGTCTCTGTCGTCGCGGACGCACGGGTGCTAGAGGTGAAGTTGTGCCCGGCTAGCCAGAATTGGTCTCTTTGCAGCCGTGCACAGGTCATAAAGACAGAACGCATGCAGGACCCCTTCAGGCAGACCGCCAGGTGCCGACGTCCATTCCCTACACCGCGTAGTACGCCAGGACAGCCTGCTGGCGCGCCCCCGCGTCCGTGTGGAGTTATACCAGGGTTCATCTGGAATAAGTGGTCTTCGCTGGCAGTAGATGCAGCGTTCAGAAGAGTGGAAGTTTACCTCTGTCAGCTGTATGCTGAGTGGTCCGGCGCGACTCGCGGCAGTGAAGCAGTCGCACAGCAGTGAGGAAGTGGCGAGAAGCTAGCTGCGAACGAGAGCTGACGGATGCGTAGCAGAGTACTGCGCAGGTTCGACCAGCCAGTTTTACAATCCAGCGGAAGAGACTAGGCTATCCGAAATTAATTTTGTATGTAGATGTACGAAGCCGCTGATCTGAGAAAGAGGAGCAATAGATAAGTGATAGGAGGACGCTGGAACACATGTGACTCGCTGTAGCTGACGCGCGCTGATGTCCGCGACAACTGAAGCGGTCCCAGCAGACACAAGCACCACTCGCCCGACAGCCGGATGAAAGGTCGGAGTGTCACTGCGGTCTCGTCTCTTTTGGAGGCTTCGAGGCGTGGGGCACTCATTGCTTTCATTACACGGCGAGCGAAGCCTGTGTGGATGAACGACTATCCCCATCATGAATGTTCACGCATTATAGGCGGTGGTGGTTGTGTGTGCACGTGTGTTACCGTGGCGAGCCAGTGACCCGTACCACGTCCGCGTCCTCCCCGTGTAGCAGGAAGCGTTCTTTTTTCCACGTAATGAAAGCTCTCTACATGTTCGTAGAACCCGGTAGATATTCCCGCCGCGGCACGCGCTTGCACGTGTCTGCAAAACTCTCTGTATCTTCAAATTAGCATGCGGTGCTTGCATCTGAACGACTACGCTGGGCAGATTTCTGAGCGCCGAGCTGAAACTTGGTACGATGTTTCGCTTGAGAGCTGGGCGTGCAGATATACTTTGGACAGTGGGAGAACCTAACCGTCGATCAGCCCGAGGGGGCGAAATTTGCGGAAGAAGGAAGGGAGCTTCTCCAGCAATACCAGAACCCGGTGGAGGCAGATCGCATCCTGAAGGTCCAGCGGGGCCTAGATGAGGTAAGCGTTCTGAAACCCATCTGTCCGTAAGAGGTACGGACAAGTACACACGACTGACTGGGCGAAGATGCAGGTGGTATGACGTATCATCGCTCTAGGTGCAGGCTCAGGTGCAGGATTTACTCAAGGTGCCTGTTAACATTTGAAAACCGGAGAAGGATTGTGGCGCATAGACAGCGGGACCTCCTCGCCAGATCAGCTGTATGGACGTATGATACCAGTATATGCTTGCGGATATTCGTATTGGCGCTGGACCGGCGACCAAGAAGCCGTGCACGTGGACGCAGAAACGCACCGCTGCATGAGTGAATGATGGGACTAGTGCGCGGGTTACACCAATGGGTCCATTTTGGACGCTGTTTGGATTTGCAGGTCAAGGACGTCATGCTGAAGAACATAGATGACCTGCTGCAGCGTGGGGAAAAGCTGGACGATTTGATGAAGCGCAGCGAGGATCTCTCCAACACGTCCTACCAGTTTTACCGACAAGCGAAGAAAAACAATCAGTGCTGCGCCTGGTACTGAGCCGGATGTGCCCGCCTAAATGCACAGACGCACGTGTGCATGTGCGCTAGGGAAATGCGGGGGCGTGGCTGTCTGATGACGTGTCTCCCCCCGCGAGAGCGCCCCTGCCAGGACCGTCACTGGATCCCCACGTGTAGACGTGTCCATGGTGGAGTATTTCAGACGCCGCTGGAGGTGTCTGCGGGGAAAGCCAGGATGTTGCTGTTCCCGTCCCGCGGAGCATATTATCGTGCGCGTGTGAAGCGCGCGCGTTATATTTGTACATGCATGCTACATGCTTCGGAGTGGGGATGTTTGATCCGTAGAGCGGGCATGCCGCGCAAGACAATGACACGCTTACAATGCCCACAATGTTCGGAGACTGTTGCTATAAGGGTGCACACCTGCCCTTCCCGCTCTCTAATGCAGCGTGTGTGCGCCGACTGCTCAGGCATGCTCAAACTGGAACGCGCATATCTGGCTGCCCCATAGTCACGATTTCTGCCATTGCTGGGCTCGACCTTTGTGTAGTGGTAGCTGGTTTATGTACGTCACTTACGTAGGCGAGCTGTCTGACGCGCCTGCCAGAGCCCTCGTGGCTGCGCGGCTCCAGCAGTCCGTAACAAGCGCACAAAAGCAGCCGTACGTATGTCATCAGCGCCGGATACACGCTACCAGCGGAAGTTAATGCTGGAAAGTCTGGCCGAAGGGTCATACGTTGTCAGCTAGCGCCTCCGTTTTTGTCTGCTGCGTGGTGCGGCGCAGGTACCCGCTGTGACACGGCAAAGGCTACGCAGAAGGGACTCCCACGCGTTGCCACTTTACCGCAGAGTAGCGAAGTTATCCGGGTCGTGAACCTATCTTCTAACCAGATGGTGTCTAGAGTTCCACGCACGCAGTGTAGGGTGCATGAGCCATAATTACGCCGTCACTCTTGATTCGTGTAGCAGGAGGGATCGCGTGCACGAAGCAATGTAGTGCATATTCGCCTTTTCTTATTCCGGGGGATCGCCGAATGCCAGTGCACGTGTGTCCGTGGAACCGAACGGCGTTGGTGGTGACGCAGGCAGCTGCGCGTTGGCGTTTCTCTCGCCGCTGGCGGCGCCCGGTGCGCTACGGAGGAAGAAAATTTCCACTTGTGCGGCTTTCCGCGAGGAGACGCGCAGTTGCTGCTAAACCACGCGACACCAGCTGCTTAGTGCTGAGCACAACCGTGTGATTCCGGCTGGCAAGCCAGCTTCGTGTCAACGCCTTCAGGCAGAATCGCCGCTGGCAGGGGTCACGTCGCTTTCTGGACTCCACCTCTCTTTTTCTTCCGTGTCAGAGTACACGGCAGCGAAACGAATCCGTAAGAAAAGGGACAGGCCTGCTGCATAGCAGGCCTCCTGTCTCTGTCTACGGACGCGGTGCATCCGCGAGGAATAGGCGTGCGACGGCCCGCACGGACGCGCGTTCCCCGCGAACACCGTCTCCAGAATACCGAAAGCGCATCTGATCCGCCCGACACGCACGCACACCCTCCAGCGGGCACAACTCCTTGACCCGGCATATATTCCCGCGTTCGTGCCTACCGTAGGCAGTCAAGAAGGGTACCTCCACAGTGTAACGAAGCTGCAGCTTCGCGTTGGCACTTGTCCCCTGCATTAGTGCAAGACGTTTCACCTTTGCCCCGGCAGGTGAGCATCCACCTCCCGGCGGCAACGCACGTCCATGTCGCCACTTCCAGCAGCCCCGATAGACTAGACTCCTCTGCGCCAGCCACGATGGAACCTCAGCGTCTCTGGCTTGTTATTATGACTTTTGACTGAGAACACGCAACTTCGACGGCAGCTCCCTCTTTATATGACAGAGCAAGGCGGCACACGCGTTCTCAGGCTGCTTGAGAAAGCGGGTACCCAGCTGACTGTGAGCGGCTCTCAGTACGCCAGTGGGGAAAGAAGGGTTCACTTTGTCGACCAAGCCTCGGATGGGCATGTATCTCGTGCTACTTCACTCCATGCCACGTAGGGGAACATCAGTTACCATCAGTCCATCAGCTGAGTGAACCATTGCACTTCTTGGCCTCCCGTATCCGAGCGTTCTCGTATTCAATAACCTGTGACGCCACGCCAGTTAGCACGTGGAGTGCAAAAGAACCAGATCTGTGAGCAGCACTTCTGGTGTTTTTAACGAACGTGCGTGGGTGTCGGGCGCTGAATAGTGACTAACAACACCGTATTTTGCTTCAGTAATGGCCGCCACGCAGTGTCGGAGCGGCGAGTAAGTGTACATTGACAACGACGAAAGACCCCAGCGTGGGAGTACCTCCTCATTCACGTGGGAAGAAGGAATGACAGCGTTATGCGTGCAGGGCCTGCTTTTGCAAGCCTTTTCAGCACAGTTACGCGACGCGGGCAGTGTTACCCAGATATACGCTTTCCCGACGTTACCTTCGGCAAGCTACCCTGTTGCTTTTTCCTGTCTCTGGCCCGTGTATAACGAAGTCGAAATTGCAGTGCAGCAGACTTGTTACACGTACCCGCTGCAAACCGACCACTACTATTTTGAGTACTGGTGTGATTTGTCTCGGTCGTGCTGCAGGGGCAAATGCGTATGTGCAGCGATGGTGGCAGGCGTGAAAGTCCGTGCTTGTCTAGCCCTCGACGCGGGGGGTTGCAAGCGTCGTCAACGCATCTGCTTCGCGCCTCACCTTCTGTGGCTTCGTATAAGTCAGTATCAGGGTGTTATGCTGGTGAGCCCAGGTCAGTAACTGAGCATCCAGGCTCAAACCGACGTCCTTCAATGATCTAATTGCTAACCGCTTGAAGTACTTTTTATTCGTCGTCCGCACCACAATTTCTTGGGTCACTTCATCGATGGTTACAGAGTAGGTGCTGGCGGGGAAAGGCAGATTCCGAATCCGCCATTGAAAGGCTTTTTTTGTGTCTAGCATTACGCAGAAGGGAGAAGCAGCCACAGGCATCATGAGAGGCTGCTGGCTTCCATCATTACTGCCGACGGCCCCAGAAGCGGATGATCCCGAGTCCAGCGTTGAAGGCGCGCCGACCTCGTATTCCCAGGAACTTTCCTTGCCGAAGAGTAACTTCCTCCGAGTCCTTCTTGAGAGTAAACAGTCGTCTTTAGTGTCGTATTCTTCCACCATCTCCGATTCATCAGGAAAAGTGGTATGCACTATACGCCGCCCATCTGCTACCAACGAATACACGCGGGGGGCTTTCGAAGCCTGAGAAGAACTCTGCATTGACATTGTGCACCAGGAAGTGCTCGAAAGCAGGCTTTGCTGCAACCGTAAAGGCACCGGAAAAATGCGTCGTCAAGGAGAAGCACAGGCAGAAACCGCTCCGGTTCATACCGTGGTGCAAATGTCAGTTTGCGCGGAAATATCAGAAAGCGTTCCCGTGGGTTGTTGGTACGCCTCTGGGAACCGAAGCGACAGAGACGGAGCAGGGCAGTGCAGCGTCTAAAAACAAACACTATCTATCCAGGAATTCGGGATCCAGACCGTCCGGTTGCGCGTACCGTTCACGTTGAACAATTAGGGGCACCTGTTGTCAAGCACCGGTGCAGTGGCGCTTTCGAAAGGGCACCGTACCAACTGCATCGCTAGATGGTGGGTCGGAGAGTTCTATCCCGCCTCCGATGTCACGCTTATGTTGGCGTGCACCTAGATTCACTGGCAAACGCGAATGCGCCGCTTAGCGACTAAGTTGCTCACGAACCGGTAGCAGGGTGTTTCTCATCGCTATTACTTGCTCCGACACGAGGACGACCCACGCGGAGGGACCGCGGCAAACATGTAAGATGTCTTCTCTGTGAATGCGCTCCAATTTGCAACGTTGTCCTGTGCGCTCTGAATTTTCTCAATGCCCAAGAAAAGGGCCCAGCCCCGCTCCTTTTCAATGCGCGCAGGAGATTTTCTTCAGTACCTCTCCGCTACCCCCATAAAGCACTTCTAGGAAATATCTCACGGGATAAGCGGAATCGACACTCAAAATCCAAACGTGGATGAGCGATAGCATGCTATGACCTAGAATTTCAGCGTCTCAAATTATTGTGTACTCTTCTCCGCGGCATCCGTACTAGAGTTTGTGTATGGCGCCAGAGTAACTTTCGTCTACTGCAGCTTGTGTGTACCTACCGGGGAACATACACCGCGAGGAAGGTGCAGCTTTTCGGGCCGCACGACAACAGCGGCGCAGCGCTCGGTCATGCCCTCGTGCTATTCCAACTGCTCGTTCGCATTGATGTGGTGTGCTGTTTCCTGCGGTACACTCAACACATGGAAGCCTAAGGTGCTTTTTGACGGGCACATACGCGTCCACCATGAATAACTAGCATGCACTTGTAATTTTTCGCCGGGTCTTCCAGTGTGAGCACCTCTGTCGACGCCTGAGCTTGCGGGCGCACGCAGGCAGGGGCGAGCCTACGTCTGCGCGGCTAGAGATTGCTGTATCGAGAAGTTGTGTACGCACCGCATAGTTCCGGACTGTGGCTGTCACTGCGTGGCACATAGAGGAACGCCGGTTATTTACGCTCGCGGGCAACCACTTGTGCGCGTACCAGGCTTGTTGCAGAAGTCCTTCACCAGTGCGGTTCCGGGGCTGAACCGGTCACCAGTGTTGTATTGTAGCTGCACATAGTCGAAGCAGCGTGCTTCAACCGCTGAATGCAGCATGAAAGACCGGTGTGCAATATTGAGGGGTCCGTACGTGATGGGCTGCGGCGCGCACCGCAAGTTTCAACTTCTGGGCGAACGGCGGACCAGCGTACGCCCAACCTTCAGCGTGCCTTCGTACCGTTTGGAAATGCCTGTCCCAGCTGTGTAGTTTTTGAAGGGAGCTATGTCTCCCAGGCTCTGGGAGGAGTCCCCCCGCCTCTTTCTGCACAACAGAGGGCGAGACGAAAAATTCTGTCGTAGCGCATACAGGAGCACTTCAGCAGGGAGCCCGCGATTTTTCTTCAGGAGGGTAGCACTCTCATTTATCACAAGCACACCGGCACACGCGCAACCCCGCATTTGACCGCCTTTTTTTTCTTAGGGTACCTCCCCTCAACCCTTCCGAGGGAAGCGACGCCGAGTACAATCGTACTAGACTTTCACGCGTTCAGGGTGGCAAGGAGGCTGGCCTTGTACACGATCTACCGCATAGCGCGCACCGGAGCGCTCGGCTAAGCCCGGGCGCGGCGCCGGTCGTCACTTCCGGGTAGGATGCAATGTGCTGCTCAGTCTTCAGCCGCCAGGTGCATGGACCGCTAAGCAACACGCATCTATACAGCTCTGTCAGAATGAGGCGAGAACGGCCCCGGCGAAGCTCAGCACCTGGAGCACACTTACTCGAGGCAAAATGCAGCCTTCCATTCGCCCCGCCGCACCCTCAAAGCTCTCGTGCCATCAAAGACTCAGACAGGTTACACGTCGTCATCAATGCGGCGTCTGTCGGCTCTATCAATACAAGGCCACAACTGTAAGCAGCAGTCCCCGCTTTCGACGTTCCTGAGCAGTCCCGAGCCTGAAAGTAGCAGCTACCCTGCTAAAAAGGCAACAGAGCGTCGTAAGCGCGGGCGGCGCCGTTATGGCGACTACGATGCCGGCGTCTCGAAACACAACTGGCTGTATCCAAGGAAGAGAAAAACGTCTTTCTGCTGGTGTCCACGAGGCCTGCTCGCTGTACTCAATAAAGAGAAACACGTCTTTCTGCTGGTGTCCACCAGGCCTTCACAGAACCGTCTAGAGACATACGGACTTCAAAGGTTTGTCATGTGAGCATGCGTGGTCCACGCAATTAGGGAACGCATGCTTCCACTACAGCGCATTCAAATTTGTGTGCGTGTCACGCGGGCATGTACGTAGAAGCAAAGCGATTTATAAAGCAGTGCTCGCCAAGGGCAACCGTCGTACTCTTCAGTGCAGCACGAAAGAGACTGCCACAGAAAACGTTCTACACGCCGCAAGCGCGGACGGCAGCAGCACTGCGGTGCATGCCTTCTGAGGCTCTCGGTGAAAGAAAATGAAGGCCACGCAGTGATGAGCACCGTCCCACCAGATGTTGTGAACAGTTACGCTGAGCTAAGCAGACTCCACGTAGCATCTCAAACGTCCCGACGCAACCGCATGTGCGGAGCACGAACAGCGCTTCGTACCGCATCAGCAGTGTAAGTCAGAGCAATGACGCGTTACCAGGAAAACAGTATGATCTGAGCAGAGTAGTGTGCGCAGCGACCACCGCGGCTTCCTTGCAACGCTTGGCGAGGCCGCAGCGTTTACTAGAAGATGTCGTCCTGTGGTTTCAGGTGCTGTTGTCGCGCCAGCAGCTACACCGTTCAACGACTGATCGATCGCTGACGCCAGGTTTCAAGTGAAACTGCTCCCCGTATACGCTTCTGTCTCACCACCGAAGGCGAGAACCGCCGTACGTAAGCTCGCACAGCGCAGCGTTATCCCGCTTGCGTCGCTCCTGGTAGCATGCCAGAAAGATTTCGAGAACCCTGACGCCTTTACCGCCTACTGGCATTCTCAAGCAAACCACGAACCTACTTTGCAGACTTCCCGACACGTACTGAGGCTTACCGGCGTGCATCTGCTTCAACATCTGATTTCCAACATGTGCGCTACCTACTCAGAAGAGTCCCTTCCGGAGAGATACGTGGTATGTGCAGATAATTTCAAATGTACGTCGGCGCTGAGGACTTTCACTAAATGTAGCAAACGGCTCCTCAGCCAGTATAAACAGCGCGGCCGCCTTGCGAAGATGCCGGCTAAGGAAAGAACCAGAGAGGAAGCGTGCCTCAGCGGAAGGCGAGCTTAGTCTATAGGCGTGGCGCGTGAGTAATTGCCGCAGGTTTACACGCGTGGCGGGCGCGCAAACACGGTGTCGACAAATAGAGTATGCGCGTTGCACGCGCACTACTCCCCCGCACGTTCGCCATAAGCACTCGCGTCTACGGCTTGGGGTTCCAGGTGCTGTGGTCCCGCCAGCAGCTCCCCGTTCGCCAACTAAACGATCGCTCACCCCAGGTTTCAACATTTGCCCGTATACGCTCCCATCTCACCACCGAAGGCGAGAACCGCCCTACAGAAGCCCGCACACCGCAGCGATATCCCGCTTTCGGCGCTCCCGGTAGCACGTCAGAAAGATTTCGAAACCCCGGACGTCTTTACTGGCTACAGGGATTCTCACGCGAACCACAAGCCGGCTCTGCAGACTTCTCGACACGTGCTGTGGCTTGCCGGTGTGATCTGCTTCACCATCCGCTTACATCAACGTGGGCGCTCCTGCTCAGCAGAGTGTCTTCCGCAGAGATACGTGGTATGTACAGATAATTTTTCCTGTACGTCGGCGCTGAGGAACTTCACTACATGTGGCAACCTGCTCCTTGGGCAGTATAAACAGCACGCCCACCCGGCGAAGATGCCCGCTAAGGAAAGAACCAGATACGAAGCGTGCCGCAGCGAAGGGAGAGCCCAGTCTGTAGGCGTGGCGCGTGAGAAATTGCCGCAGGTATGCAAGCGTGGCCGGCGTGCAAAGACGGTGTCCACAAATAGAGGACGAGCGTTTTACACGCACTAGTCCCCCGGACGTTCGTAATAAGCACTCGCGTCCACGGGTTGGTGCTTCCCCACCGACCTATTCGGGGCGACCGCAGCGGTTGCCGCGCATCCAGGATTGCGACCTCAAGCGCGAGAGCCCTGCTGCTTCTACGGCTAAGCTAGTCTTGCAGAGAGTGCGGAGTCGTCAACACCCTGAAAAAAACTCGCAGTGATCTACAGGGACACCCGTCGATGACGGCAGGGTACACGCAGGTTGATGAATTCTGATCAGAGAAGGGAACAGTGAAGGTCCGGCTTCGGCTTTTTGGCCGCAGAAAGCATAGCACGACGCGCAGGAAAGCAGCCGAATTCGCGGCGATAGCGCAGACGTTAGCGCCACAAATGATGTGCATGTGGGACACCTGCTTGGCAAAAGGAAAGCACGCTGGACAGCTAGTACTGCAAGGCAGTGGCAGTCACTTCCGAGAGCAGCACAGATGCCAGCACTTTATCACCGAGATAGAGTGAGGCGCTGTGTTTGTGCGAGGCAGCTCACCTCAAAACTACCTTGCAGCCCTCAGCGCCATGTCATGCAAGCAACACTGTGGCCTGACGACTTTCCTGGCGGATGCACGTCACGCAGCGCTCATCGACGGACGACCTCACTCACGCAGCGTCCGTTGCGCATATTCAGTGGAGTGCCACATCGAGTGTGCAAAAAAGCCCCCGTCAGCGCACGAAAAGGGTGCAGACGCGGACGGACGAGAACCGTATGCGGCGTTGCTCATCTACTTTCTGAGAGTTCCAGCCGCATCGCCTAAGCTTGGAGAGGCGCCAGCTCCTATAGCCTGTATAGAGTAGAGCACGCTCTGGCGACGCAACGCGGTCAGCAGAATATGCGGAACATCACACACTGTTCAGCCAGCGTCTCTTCTCAGACGACGAAGACCGCCGCCAGACAGGAGTGGGCGTGATATCTCTCTCTATGCACACTGACACCCTTCTGCAACGCGAAACCAGCTGCCACGCGTTTGTCTTACGTCGCCTATTCCGATCCGAAAAACAAATCAGCGGCTGCAGCGTCGGTTACACAGCTGCGCTGCATAGTACCACTACTCCTACAACCGGAGGGCGCAGCCACGCTACAAGGTACCCTCTCACCGAGTTCTGCCATCAGTGAGAAGAAAAATATCTCTGCTTGTGTTACCCTTGCACATGCCTCAGGGCAGATACTGGCATCCAAGTGTGCTAAAATATTTCGGCCTTGCACAAAATGACGGGCGATCCTTGATACATTAAATGGGTGGATACATGCACCAAAACTGCCAAGGCATTCTGATGGCGCAGCAGGCTACCTCGCACGCTGTACGCGGATTTGCTTGCGACCTGTAAAGCCATTGAGAGCGACTGCGGCAAAGCAGTGAGAACGGCGCTCGTGAAGCGTGGCCGTCTACGCGCACGCGTGGTTGCCTGCCTGAACTTGCCAGGGAAGCTTCGCCCAAGGATCTGCACGTGGAAAAATCTGCAACAGCGGATGGTTATACCGCGAACACCCGCGCGTTTAGACGCGAGTCTGCCGGCGTACCTTCTGTAGGTTTCACTAAAGCTGCGAACTGCCATTTCTAAAGTCACTGACGCGCTGCATCTCGACGTACCCACCCGCGCAGGTGGACAGGACTCTTGCGGGGTGCAACACCGACTCTCGAGTGGACATTGTTACCCAGACAGCACTTACAGCAAACTACCCGGGGGGCCACCCCCATAACACCCATGCCTCAAACGGAGGACACTGAAAGCACGTCACAACAGCGCATGGAGAATAGATTTACGTTTTCCAGTACAGAGCACAATTAAGTCCAGTTCGCTCTCTTTTTTACTGATTTATTGTCAGCAATAGCCAAGCGTATGAGCGCGGAGGCACAGATGGCACCTGGTGTCAGAAGGGCATGTGTTAGCACCGCAGCATGTAATATTATATTGCTCGCCGCAAGGGCACCTCGCGAACAGTACAGTGCGCGCCACCTTATAGGCTGCACCATAGGATACCTGACACCCATTCCGCATATCTGTCGTGTCACAGTTAGAAGGTGCCCTCCCTACCAACTCAAATCGGTAACGAGTAAACTGTCGCAGACCCGCGACGGCACGCAGGCGGGGGCACTCTCTCTACTATGCTTAACACCGCAGTTGGCTAGAGCCAACCCGCTGATTCCAGCTTACTCCGGATCTCCGGTGAAACTGTCTGCACTGTTGACTGATTGCTCCAGACGACCGCCCAGAAAGTAGCATACGTGCCAAACGGAAAATTAGAGACGTTAGCAAGCAGTGAATCTACAGAGGTCTTGTCGTGTGGGTCGCGGTAGCGTCAAACTTCCTGCAGAGGTGACTCCGCCAGAAGCTTCAAAGAACTACGTTACTGCCGCTGCTCTCATTGTCCCTGATGCGGCCGTCTCGCTTCTGCGTGCATGCTGCACGAGGGCATCTTCCTGATGAAGCTGGCTCCAGATGGCATCTCACATCGCACTTGCGATCTATTTAGCTCCAACAATTTCAGCTTTAGGCTTCTAAATATTACTTAGTGGTTGACCGTTTTTGCAGCCCATGTGCTTTGTTTTCACAAGCAGAGTACTCGGACAGACAGAGCTCAAAGGCTGTGGCTTACGCTTGCCGTCTCTGTGACCCGCATCACCTGTTTCATCAAAAGGGCCCACCGCTCCAGACTTCCATATCTTAGAGTCGGGCGTATTCTCTAGGTGGGCGTCTTCTGCGTGGAGGAGCTGGCATGGCTGCCCGACGCTTTCTCTTGGTGATTTCGCCTGCGCCTGAATGCCTTCCCAACTCCGGCAGGACAGGGGGTTTTCGCCGAAGTAGAGAGGGTCGCTGCCTTATCAAGGGGTCGTTCCCTGCTCTTTTCAGAGGCAGTATCCCTCACTGCCATATTACTGTCGGAAACTGGGACGAGGGATGGCAGGGCGACGTGGTCCAGTCCCAGAAGTTTCAGGTGCTGTGCGACTTTCCTCTCCTTTTCTAGCCGCCTCCTCACTTGTCGTAGCGAAGGAAGCGCGTTATCGGGTTTGTTATGCTGTTGCATCGCTCGGACGCGCGTGGACACACGTCTAAACCTTTTTCCCCAATGTCTGAAAAGCCTCGGAGGCACGCGGTTAGGTGCAACAAGATGGCAAACCAGTGTGCGGCCGAACATCATGTAGTTGTTCATAGTTTCTGATACGATCTCAGCAACCTCAGGCAGCTCAAATCCAATATAAGCGTATCCCTTGCTCCGCCCGGTCTTCCTACTCCGGCGCAGCTCCACGCCTACTACCTCACCAAACTGTGAAAAAAAGCGGAACATCTGTGGTTCGTTGAAACCCGAGGGAATGTGCCCGAGATAGACGACGCCTCTGCTCGTTTTCTGCAGAGCCGCTGTATTTCCGAGTGCCATCTTTCCGGGTTGCGTTTCTCCAGGTTTGCCCACCCCCCGCTTGTCGGCACGAGGCCCCTTACGCGAGCTGGCAGACTTCATGACCCCAGCGGGCTGCCTTTCCATCCTCCGCACTGTCGACTTCCCCGCCTCACACTCGCTTTCGCGTGCCTCTTCTAGCAGAGCTTTAGAGCCCGCTGGTCCCGCCTCGCATGCCTTTGCGTCTGAGCTTTCAGTCTTTTGGAGCGTCTTCTGTCGAAACGGACTCGCAGCTGCTCGGCGCGTTGTGTACTTGAGATGTGCGGCAGCAGCACGCGACCTCCTGCCGCTTTTAAATTGCGACCGCTGTCGTGGACAAAGATACACCCAACACCTGGTACAGCAACAATGTCGCCGAGCATTTGACCTCAACGTGTGAACAATGAATATTCCTGACGAGCCCCGCCACGATACCTGAATGCGGCAAAGACATGCGCGGAAGTCGCGCTTCGTAGAAGGAGACCATGTGAGCCAGTGTCTTTACGAGGCACTCAAAGTGTTTGTCCGGGTCTCAGCATTCGGTCAAAGCTCTCCTGATTGACCGAGCGCAACGTGTAAAAGGTCTTCTCTGATTACTGCTGAACGTAGTTGTGAACGGGTGGGACTCCTGCAGCTGCACCCTTGTAGCATGCCCGGAATGCGCATGCGCGCGGAGTCAGTACCGGGAACATGCGCGAACCAGACAGACGCGAGTAACTCTTACGTTACTGTGCCTGTTTCTGCACTCAGCGTGAGTTCATCACTGGTGCCGCCGCGAATTGTCCTATTTCCGAGCACACTATGTCGTCTGCTGCCGGTGCGGACCCCGTCCAGGCCGCCATTGTAGAGATTTTGGGGATGGCGGACCTTTACAAACGGTGAGAACACCACACTAACGTCGATTCAAATCTTTTGCAGGGGAGCGTGTTCCGTATATGCATGCGTCAAAACTGTTGGAGCAAATTCGCGTCTCTCTCTCGCCACAGTGTTTCTTACACACTTGCCACGGCACCCGCGTATGCCGGTTACGTGGGCTGGATGCCCACAGCGTAGTCGGGCGTGAGGGCGGCCTTCGAGGCGCGAGACATTTCCTCGGTCTCCCGCAGGCAGGCACATGGCATGACAGCCTGCAGTACGTACCTCGTGTGTAGCAGTTCCCGGAAGGAGGGATGTTGTACAATTTCGTCCTGACCACCGGTAACCTGTCCACCGGGGACAGGCTGACACCCCGCACTCCTCGGCAGGCGAGTCAGTGGCGAGGTATTTCTGTAGATGTAAATGCACGGGGGCAAACCGCGCGGCCGTGGTAAAAACGTTTAGTTCCCGAGCTCCACTCTTTACATTCGCAATGATGACTGTCTCAGTCTGGATACACTCGGGCTGCCTCACGCTTATCGACGCCGCGTGTGACCACCTGAGCACATGGTGTCCACAGTCGATACTCTGTAGATGTGCGCGCCCATATACGCATGTCACAGCTAGGACAGACCGTCCGCCTCTGATGCTTTGCGTAGCGGGCCATTATGTGGGACGGAGGGCGGGATGGTGCGGAGGAATGCCTTGACTCCTTACCCGCTGATTTCCTCTTCAGTCCTTACCGGGGCCATTAGCCCTGATTCACCGAGTCCTCCGCGTGTCCCCAGAAAATATCTGCCCTCGGCTTGGCGTCCCCGGCTGCGCGACCCGATTTCATAAGTATCAGAATAATCTGAATGTCCTTGAGTAACATGCGGACTGCTCGTTATGATATGAGCACTGTGCGGGAGAGTGCTGCACGACTGCAGGGCGCCTGTGTATACGACTGCGCACCTTGTCGCCTTTTCCGCGAGGCGACCGCGCATACATGGCTGGGTAACAGCCTTGCGTAAGGTCTTGATCTTCGGGTGCACAATTTAGCGGCTTACGCGCGTGAACAGCCACTACAGTGCTCTATCCTAAGGACGCTCGCTGCGCAACGATCATACGAAGACGTTCTAAGGGGTGACTTTATTTTTCGCTGTATGCAGCA